CATTTTCACAATAGACATTTATACACCATTCGATAGAGAATTTCAAGGGCTACATTTTACACTATTTATATTTGATATACGAATTATTTGAATTTTCGGCCTAATGTCCGCTTGGATGCCCACTGTGTTGCATGTCAATGTTTGTTCTCGAATAAAAACAAAAAAAATCTATTATAAGCCTCATTTCGAAAAATCAATCTAATTTTAGATGTGAACAAGGGAACAAAAACAGTTATAATTCATTCAAAAGCCAAGTGTGTTATGTTGAACTCTTCAAAAATAGTCCCTAGTACGTTGTTCAAATGATAACATAAGAGAGAGATCTTCTGCGGGTTTCTGTAAAACCTTTTTTTAAGAAAAAGAAGATTGACTTGGTATTTTTCAACATTTTTAAGCATCTAATGAAATCATGCAAGTAATGCATTTGAAATATAAAAAATTAAAAACGACACTTTTTGGACATTTTCAACTTATTTTAGAAAATTCTGGACCATTCTGTGTCGAAAAAAAGCGTGCATATGAACATAACATTAGACATTCATAGAGAGTTATAAAACTAACTTGTATACTTGCTCTCAGTCTTTCACGTACAACAGATGTTTTCAAAAGTATTATCTAGCTCATATTGCACGAACATTTTTTCAGCAAATGTTTTCTATGTAACATTCTCTCATGATCTTATGCTAATTTGTTTTAGTTAAACATGAATATTTAATGATATAATTGTAAATTTAATTTAGAGAAACAATTTGATGAAGGTTTTTACATCTGTTTTTTACTCAAGTTTACTACAAAAATTTGTTTAATGCCAATAGTCTACGGAGAAAAATTGATCCGTTAATCGAATCATTTCTCTATTAATCGAATGTACTTATTCTAATGGTCTCTTTGCTCAGTTTTTTTCTCTGATTGTTGATGGTCAGCGTAGACTATGCTAAACTGATTGAAATTTGTGGCATAAATACTAGGGCATAGAGACATGGGCTTTATATTTTCTCAAACAAAAGATTGCCTAAGGAAAAAAAATTCAACTGCAAAGATCGAGTGAGATGCCTGGATTGAAATTCTTCAAAAGTAGAATTTTGTCCAAGTATATGTCTACTACCGCTCGTAAAAGAAACTATTAACCCATTAAGTACCATAATCCCCATTTGGGAATATTAAATAAACGATTCTATTATTTTTAGATGTGTAAATATTTTTATTATGCAGCATATTGTTGAAGAAAGCATAAAAAATTTGCCTCGTAAAATAATCGACACAACTCTCAAATGATAGAAAATTGTCTAAGAAAATTTATGGAGGATCTAAGTTTGAAGGCCTAAAAATTCCATAAAATAATATATTAATGAAATTTTATTTTTAAACCTTATTTTGATACATCTTTTTATGCATAAAAATTTAGAAAAATCAAAAGTCAAAATCTAATACTCAATGGATTAATGGTATTAGAGAAAATCGCCTATGAAACGTTTTTTTTATGATTATTCCAAATAAGATTGATTTCTAACTTGTCATAACCTGTAATAATAAATTATCCGTATCTGAATTGGCAAAAATTGTACGTCTATTCATATATCAAGGTAATACGACTATGACATCATGTGTTTTATATTGAACTTGACATGACGATATCATCAAACTATTCAACATAAATATCAATTTTCTCTGAACAATACAGATGGGCAGTACGTAAAAAGAAACATCATTGTTCACTTATGAGCAACTAACTATCCATCATTGAATGAAAAAAACATTTCTCTTATAGAATATTAACTAAAATTATCACCTCAGATGGCACACATAGCAAGACGTGTGAAGAAGAAATTTCATTTCAATGGTATCAAACTATAGACGTCAACACTACACTTTTTTTGCTTTTTTCTTTGGATAACACATGTTAAGGTCTACAGCAATGAGATAGTCAAATTGAAATAAAAAAGTTAAGGTTATTTTCAATTGTAAATTAAATGAAAATAGCTTCTAACTAATGAATTTTGTGTGATTACAGCTAAAATACTGATTATTTATTAATATATTGAAGTTTTCGAATAAACTTCAGAAAAATATAACAAAATTACGAAATATATTAAAAAATAATGAGTATTTTAGCTGTAATTATATAAAATTCATTCATTAATAAAGTCTTGCTAATCAATCTATTTACATTCTAACCGTTCAAAATTATTATCATACCAGTACCATTTTCTCGAACTTCATTCCAACTCATGTTTGAATGCACTTAACACAGTAACAATAAGAGTGAATTTAATCTTGTCCATACATAGTTGATAATATTTCTTCAGAAACCTTATAACTGTCAAAAAAATTTGATTAAAATCCCTTCTTATCAACATCTGTTCTTTTATTCTTTAAAACTATTACATAATAGGTGACCTAATAGTGTTGAAGTATCGTACATTTTAATCCTAATAACAGTCTTCCTCAAATTGCACAACGTATTTTTACACATATTAAAACCATTACAAACTAACTAACTATCATAACACATCAGAATAATTAATTTTAAAACAATGACTACGATAAAGTGTCACATTTTTTAGATTTCTTTGTTTATGCATATACTTCAGTGACTTACACTCGAAAATGTGTCTACTTATTGAAATATTAAAATTTTACCTGGAAGTGTACACGATTTTGCTGATAACAATAATCCACGACGATTTGTCAAACTTTCTAATGAACGTGTAATATTAAAACGATCGACAAGAGCTGATAACATTTTTATTTTTTTTGAAAATTTTAATAATAATACTTGGTTTTTCTAATAATGATCAAGAAATATCATTCGTTTTCATGTTCATACGAGTAAATGAACGTTGAAAAGAATCTTTGAATAAAGAGAAGTCAATAACTGCTACTTATAATAGTTATTATCTATGTTCTTTTTTCCCCTCGCGTCTATCTCTCTATAGTTATCTATTAGACTGACACAAAAAAAAAAAAAGAAATGAATTTTCGTCACCTACTTTGATTAATCATTTATGAACTGTATGTGTCGTGTGTTATAGCGGTGTAGAAAGACGGAAATAAGAGAGAGAGAGAGACAGAAAGAGAGAGCAAGAGAAAATGTTCGCAATTTATTAAAGTGTTTTTGTCCATAGTTATGTTTTCTAATCTATGTACATCTATGGGCAAATGAAGGAAATCCGTCTCATTCTGTGCAATAATAACTAACTATGTGTATATAGGATCAAGGTATAAGAAAATGCCGGTATGACAGAAAACCGGATGTATTAGGCGGTGGTAATTTTTTCTCTTTGAACTCTATACGTCTATATTTTTTAATTGGTTTTCACTATATATGTATAATAAACCAAAGATAAAGCTTTTGTTATAAAAAATTATTCTTAAAATTTGCCCTGTAGTCTCTTGTTTCTTAATCAGTTCTACCGTATAAATCGATTCTCTATAAATCATAACTTTTGTTTTCTCTAAATTATTCTTTGTTTAGACGATAGTTAGATATGCAAATCAGTTTTTAAACATCAAGTAGAGTGAAAACAATAGTCTTTCTTTTTCTCTGTTTTGTTTTTTCTTCTTTTTTTATCTCTAAAAATAATATTTTTAACTTGATCACTTAACAGTTAACATACAAAAATAATATAAATCGGGAGAGATAGAAATCGAGATCCATCGATACATATAACTATAACAAAAGGCAGATAAAATTCTTTCTTTTTGAATCACAAAGACTTCACTTCACAATTTTCGACAAGTTTTGAGAATACTATCTACTGTATATATATAATAGAAAGAAGTTGTATAGTGTGTACTATTTCGTTTTTTTTTTTTTGTTTTGTTTTTATATTAAAACGAATGATGTGTTGAAAACGATTTATCATACTCTTTCTCACTTAGATTTCTAATTATAGTTTAAAATTTATCTCTAATTTTATTTTAAGAACTAATTTTTTTGAGTAGAGATATACTGGAGATATCTCATAACATATGAGTAAGATGAGGTTGTCACGTAGTGAAATTAGAATGCATTTTAGATTCTAATCATATGATTGAATAGAAACAAAGTGTTCTCTATAAAACTACACAAATTCAACATCTATACTTTATGGGATTTTATAGAAGAGAAATATTTTTCCTGAGACATGTATATCTCACGATTTTAAACTCATAGAATTTTAAGAACAAATGGAAACATAGATTATATTGACCCATTCTAAAGATTATGGGAATGTTTGTTTCCAGAAAAAAAATGGAGAATATAAATAATTTGCTATGAGCATACAAAAGTAAAATATTCGTACCATTGTAAGAAAGTAAATGGACTTTTCTATTTGTTTATAAGGTTCTATAATACTGTTAGTTTTCATATTGTTTGAATGAATATTATAAAAATAATTTGAATACTCTATCTTTTGTAACCATTGTGACCTCCTCTGATATCCATAGAGAAATAACAGTTATTTATTCGCAAAATAAATAAAAACTTTAAAAATAGTTCGAAATCTTTAAATTTTTGTTCTTAAAGAATTTAAAAATCTGTAAGTCTAAAATAGGATACTAGTTTGTTAATCTTTTTAATGTGTTCGTTTTCTTTCTCTTCTCCCTTAGTGATATTCCAGTTTTAAACAAGAAATAAATCGTTTAACAAATAAAAAAGAAAAATGACAAGAAAACTCGATCATAGAATAAAATTTGACCGCACATTACATTCAAAATGAATGATCGTTTTTATTCATAAAAGGGCCCAGGAGGAATCTTCGTCTGAAATATAGAATAAATAAATAAATGTGTGACATTAGCGGACCCTATATGCCTACATGGGGAATTATTACCACATTTCTAATCTTTCACACGAATGATTTAGCATAACAATTAAATCTATCATGACAAAAAAATGAATAGAAAATAATGATGGAAATCTTTAGTATGTGTTGGTCAAAACATTTTGTCTTTTCTTATACGTGATTTATCGTTAGATATACTAAAGATTCTAACCATCTACCTACATCTAATCAAAATAAACATTCGTTATACATTTACAACAAAAATAAATTGACGGCAAAAAAACAAAGAAAATTGAACGTAAACAAAAAAAAGTGCCTAAATAAATTCAGTTTTATATAAATGGAAATGTGAATTATCTATAGTTTTATACAGGAAGTAGAAGAATATACTTTTATATTTTAAAGAGATATGCTTAACCATATTAATTTCTTCTGTCTCTGCTCAAACAAAAATAGACGATTTGTTAACGGTCCAATTCTACTGTCAAACTACTGGAAACTACTACTATATAGATACAAAAAAGTATGTTTTCTCTTTTGAATATTGTTTTATGTTTCGACGAAATAGATATCATTAAATGTATCCTATTAGGGTTAAAGTATGAAATAAAATCGATCGATTTAACCAAAAGTTTTCAGCAGTTTAGAATGTATTTAAATCACAATTAAAAAGATATGATAAAGTTGTCGTAAATATAAATCTTGTATTCTCAAACTCTAACTTGTCTAATGAAATGCAAGAAACATAAAAGTTCATCAATCTATCAACATTTTTATCGACTAACAAATTCTTATTGTGTTGCCTATTAACTAGAAAAGGAAGTTGACAATAACTAAACTATCTTACATTTCTATTTTATGTATTTACCTGCTTTACATTTTGACATTGTTTTATATGGTTCACGCAATATCCATATTTGTTCATTATCATTCGTATTATAATTATTATTATTATTATTATTATTATTAACTTTTAACGTGCCAGTATTTTGTTGTTGGCATTTCATCACATGATACTGTAAACTAATATCGTCGAATTTCATCATTAAAATAGACGAGAGACGTATTTTTTTACATTAAATGATGACAATTTTAAGTTTTGTTCCATATTTTAAATAATAAAGATGTGTTTGTTAAAAATTAGTCGAGACAGTTACAGATGTGAAGATCGCATCATCATACATAGGTCAAAAATTTATGTTAATATAAATCAATCTTTATTCGCACATCTATATATATATATATATTTTGTTTTTTTTTGCTTGCCGTGGTGTAGAGTTAAATCTCGAAACAAAAAGTCATTATGATAGATGATCTAGCTTAATGTGCGTATGTGTATATGAACAGTTAATAGAAACAAGATGAATATCTCTCTCGTTCTCTCTTTTTCTCTCTACATGTCTATAGAAAGGTATTAGAGACAAGATTTTCAAAAATGATATGAACATCGTCGTCATTATAGAATGTAAATTAATTAAAGATTTTTAATAATATAAAAACATGTTGTTATTGTTGTTATTGACAGTAGTAGTAGTAATAATAGTAATGACATGACAAACGCTAACATCGATATCAGATTCCATTTTTTTTGCCACTTTATATTTTTTTATTTTTTGTTCTGTTCTTGAGTACGTGTATGTGAATGAATATTGAAAAAAATAACAACAACTTTTCGAAAAATATTAATAACGCTTCATCGACATCAAAAAAACCTATTGATAGTATGAATTTTTTTTTTTATATTTCTCTCTATTATAATATCTTTGAGTTATATATATTCTTATGAAGAGAGAAAGTGATGTGTATGTACTTAAATCATACTAATTGAGAGACATGAATAAGGAAAAAGAGAAGAAAGAAAAGCGGATAGATTATCGATAGAACAAAATTTGTTTCAATAACAGAGAAAATCAGATCGACAGCTATAGATTATTGTCGATATAAATCTCTCATTCTCTATGTATTAATAAAAAAATCAAATTAAATCATTTTACTGCTACTCTTCTTTCATAGCTCAGAATGATAATGTATACGATGATAAGAAAATAGAGAGAGTATGCCAATAATACGAGTTACCGTATGATAGTTTTCATTGACACAAAATGGTCTGTTTTTCTTATTTCTTTTTAAAAGTCTCAATAGTCTTTATTTTCCCTCTCACTCCTGTCATCTTCAAAGCTCTTTGGTGTTGTTGTCAGAACATCAAAAAAAGAAAAGAAATTGGTTTATGTTATTTTTTTTCTTCAAAAAACCAGTGAATAGTAGTCGTTAGATTAACGTTATTTTCTCGACACAAAATTATCGCATCAATCGAGTTATATATTCGAGAAAATATCGGCAAATAAAAGAGAAGATAAATATGGTAAAGTTGTTAATTCAAATTTTAATCAAAACTTAATATTCGTCAACTCAAAGACCCACTTGGTCTTGATTTTACAATGAGAAGCATGATACAACCAACTATCAAGTTAATGTTACAATATTTCTAGTGTTTGTTTGTCTCCTATTTCATTCACTTTCAAAACAGATCAAATTCGAACAGAGATCATTGATCTTTCAGCTAAATAATCTGCTTTTATATTAAACACAACATTATCAACTAGTTGAATTCTAAAATACTCGTTTTATTCAACTGATCTGACTTGAATAAAACTGGAATTACTAATTACTACGTATTTTTATTGACATCTGTCCTTTGAAAAGACAGTTGGTGGCATTTCGTTTAACTATTATTAGAATAGGATGAACATCTCTCTTTGTCTGTCTGTCTGTCTTTCTCTCTTTTTCTTTCTCTTTCTCTCTCTCTCTCTGGACTAAGCGGTTTGTTTTTTCACTTGACCATGGTAATAGACTCCAAAAGATTGAACAAAAACAGTATATACTACTAATAGTTTCTCAATTATCAATGTTGTTTCCACTTGGATAAAACGCGACGATGTGCGCATGCTTGCCCATTATTGAAAAAGTAAAGTAGTAGATAGATAATCATGTAAACGCAAAAGAAATATGTACTTAACAGCGATCGTTTCTCTTACCATAGCCATTTAATTAAAGATAAACTGCTTTTAAGCTCAATACTTTGTCTGAAAACAAAAGTAATTATCATACTCATAGTTACTTTTTAGAAAATTACAAACGCATAAGAAATAATCAGTTCATACTTCACTCAAACACTCATTCTCTATGACGAGGTACATCGAATGTACATTTAGAAGACAAAAAAATAAAAAGAAGAGACATTGGTTTTGTTCATTTCAAGATAGATACTTCTCCTCAATTTCGCATAATATGATTATATTATTGAAACAAGTTTGATTTGCGTGACAAAATTTTCCAAGACAAAAAAAAAGATGATGTCAGCGCTATGTAGAAGATGTCATATTTGCCTGATATAAAAAAATCATGAACTTATGTTTTTTCTTTTCTTCAATGAGGATCATAGAATACGTTTACAGAACAAACAACATGTAGGAAATGGTCAGTTTATCGAGTAATAAAAGAAAGATTAAAGTAATAGTAGATCATGCAAGAGTATTGTTTTATAAACTCCCCATAGTCTTCTGCAATGATGCAGAAATATTTGAACTCATTTGTTATTTTCAATGTCCAGATGAAAAATCCCATAGGACTTCTGTGAAATTCTACGTCTGTAGGATTTTCGTAATATTTCTACTACAGTATTCTACTAGAATCTATAGAGATATGTAGGACAATTGATTTTTGTTCTTTGACATATAAAAACTTTAACGATCTGGCTTTGTGTGCCATTGGTTAACCGTTTTCTCATTAGAGATGGATAGCTCGATGAATGGCCACTGGATAGAAGGCGGTCGGGTATGGATAGAGTACGCTTCGAGTTTTGACAGTCCGATCGGGTACGGGTACCGAAAACTGTACCTATGTACATCTTCATTCCTTATCAAAACATTGCCATTCTAATGTTTTTCTAAATTAGCTGAAAAAGAGACATCCTGCCCTGTTCAACGAAGCCTAAAATCTGGTCTTGCTCTCTCCTGCATATTCTGTGACTTAGACTTGATATGATCTGTAGCATAGGATAGAGCAAGGTCAATCAAGACGTGTCTACCATTCCGTATGATTCAGTACGAATCATACAGCTTCGTACAATAAAACTCTTATGTCTTTTCTAATAGATTGACTATCTATCATTTCCTATGGGGTTTCAATAGATTGTATCGGTTTTTCGTTCGATCTGAGTAAGAATATTATCGTTAGAAAGAGAGAGTGACACACGTTAAATAATTTCACACGTTTACTAGAACTGTATATGGAAAATTATAATTGAATGGAAGTCTTACAGATGCAAAGTCTTCATTATTTTAAGAAGATTAAAACTTGGCGTTGTTAAATTCTCTAGTTCGTGATATAGTATAGTAGAAATGAAAAATGATGGAAAGAAAGTAGACATATGGAATGAACATGTCTTTGTGCAGTAGTTATGTGACAGGAAATAAAGAAGGAAGAAACTCATTATAGATCTAAATGTTTGTTCAGATATTTGATCTAGACACACAGTTGTTGTATATAAGGAATTATTTGTTTTATTTTCAGTTTTAGAAATAATGATTTTTTTTGCAACAGAATAACTGAGGATAATTCTTTGACAGACATGCAAATACATACACTGTAATGTCCATCTGTGTGCTAGTCAGTCTAGGAAAACAGATGAAAAATATTCCTTATAGTTTACAAATATTGGATATGTATTAAAATCCTAGCACTGTTATAGACTATTCCCGAAAGATTTTAAACCCTTTCAAAATATTGTTGTACAACAGAAGTGATATACTTTTTCAAAAGATAACTATCAGAATCGAAGATACTATTATCAAGGCATACTAACTAACAAACTTAAAATTTAAAAAAATTTATCTGTTCAATTATGGAATGAGTCTAACTTGAAATATATCAAATTTATTCCATTGGTATAGACATAAAGCTGAAATATCATTTTCTTTGATGTTATATTATTGTAATCTTTGAGTTAGACAACATTCAACAAAAGATCTATGCAATCAAATTATCATTCAATCTGCGCAAAGATGGACATAAACAACAGCTGTGAATAGATATATACATACATGAATATAGATGACGAATTTTAGAATCAATCTGTCCCATGATTGTGTGTAAAGTGTCGCTTGTTCGATAAATAAACACAACAGATAGACGATAAGTGCAATAAATGTTACTATTTCACGACGTTGGATTAATAATCATGTGCGATATATTTCGTTTGTACCATTTCATACCATCTCATTGTGAAGAAGTTAAATAAATAGTTAAATGAACTAGTAGAAATAATCTGATCTAAAATTGTACAAAAACAATTTCTAGTTGGATACGATCCAATCTTGAAGTAAAATAAACAGATTGGAAAAATTTTATGACTTTGAAGTAATCCGGTTAAAATTTGTCGATATTAGACAAATTACTTAAAAGAAGAAGATCATCCATTACTTTCATTTCTTTTGCAGAGAACTAGGTGACGTAACTCTTCATACCTTCTGATATAGATAACAGCGTTTGTTTTTCCTGAATACGAAGATCAGATCACTCCTGCCTCTTCAAACTGCAATGGATCTTATAAACTGACATAGATAAAGACAACATTATAAAAATTTTGTTTAAAGAAACATCAGTGGACAAAAATGAATACCGTCTGAAGAAATGATAGTAATAATGAATTAATTGAAAATTCATCTATAATCCATATATAACTGTATAACACTGATAAACGTACAGTTGCATTCGAAGAAAGGACCCTTCTACTACACTCCATTCACGAAAAGTCCAAAGGAACTATATAGATCCATTTTATAGTTCCCTAGACAAAAATTTATTGAAATTTCTGATAAGAATCTTATCTGATTCTTACCAGTATGAAAGTGGAAGGAATTTCATAAAAATCAGATTAGAATCTTGTAACAATTTTATAAGAAAGTGATAAGAGTCTTTATTAATTTCTTATTGACTTTTTAAACAGTTCTAATTCAAATCGCATCAGATTCTTACGAAATTTTTGCAAGGTTCTATTCTCATTTCCTCCGTGCACGAAATACCGTGGTACTTAAACTATGCCTACATATATTGTTTACACTTGTGTTGAAACACAAGCTATTTGGGAGGGGTGATGAACATATTTCGAAACCCTATGCAATTGCATTTCCATTTACAACATTGAAAAAGATGTTGTGGCAGAATATAACGGTGTGGATGTTTATGTATAGATATGTCCACTGTAGCTCAATAGGAGAAATCATGAACAGCGGACCAAGTTCGAACCCTGAGCGGATCGGTATTAATTAAATTTTCGTTGCTCATTATTGTGAAAAACTTCTGAGAACTACCGAGAGAATCATTTTAAGTTGAGAAAATTTTTTTCGTATAAGAACTTCATAAGAAATCAATAGGAAATGAATAAGGACTCTTATCATTTTCTTATAAAATTGTTACAAGATTATTATTTAATTCTTATGAAATTCCTTCTAATTTGTGCCGTTTTTCGATAAGAATCAAACAAGGTTCTTAACAAAGGCAGATAAGAAGCTGACATGATTCGATTCAGATCCCTGTCAGATTCTTATATAAGATTCGATGACTAGGATTACGGCTAGTTAACTGGATAAGCTTAGTCTACTACAGACGTTCATACTTGTTTTGACCACATCCAAGATTTCTAAAGATTTGAAAACTCTTCTAGAAGCCTGAAAGCAGCAGCTTCTCAGAACCTAGAAAATCTTTTCTTCGAATAAAATTTTTTCAGTTATATGAGTTTGTAGAACTAACTTCTCTGGTCAAAATGTGATCTCGAACAGGTGTGAACGATTAACTATCAAAAAATTCTACGATGTTTACCGAAAATATTAAAAGATTTTGTCTTACTCTACTCATAAGTATTAATTAGAATTTGAAACCGACCCGAGCCCTTCACTTATCCTAACGAAAATTTTCAAAAATATACGAAAAGTCCCCTTTTGATTCACATTCGGGTGAATTTTCCTGATGAGCAACAACAAGTTTTAAAAACTTTAGGTTTACTGTATTTTGCTTGGATCAACATTTTCAGAAATTTTCCTACAGATTGATCTTGTGATTACCTTGATCAGTTTCTTACAAAAAGACTTTAATAAAAGTTCAATCGCAAGAAAAATTTTCTTTTTCTATTTCTTTTTCTATTGAGAAAATTTTCACTTTCTAATGTTAAAAAATGTTAATTCTATCTATTGTTCTAATATATCCTAGATTTAGTCCGTCTTATTCCCAATTCCTCTAATACCAATAGCACAGGATATTAAATTTACACTTTTACAAAGAATTTTTCAAAATGTTATGGTCACTCTGAATTAAGAATTGAACGAAGTCGTCCCACAAAAAAAAAATTATATGTTACGATAAGCTTTTGACTGAAAGAGAAGTAATTGGCACATATTAAAGGCGATGAAGAACATTCTTTGTATTAATAAAACCAGATACGCGAGAAACTCAGATTTAATGATTGACTTACAAGAAGATTCGTTTTCATCTAAGATTTTCCATCTTTGTACAAAAGAGTGATCCTTCTCATGTTCACATTAGCGTCTTTTCTTACAGCTATGCTCAGTCCAGTCTTTTGAAATCGCTTTTTAAAACTGATTACCAACACTCACCACTTATTACTTCCAGATTCTCTTCTAAAGGTGAAAAGAAAAATAATAGTAGACATTGACACAAATCGTTCTCTATTTCTCACACGAAATAAGACAATAAAAAAAAAATAAACAAACTCTCTAAATCAATTACGTGCTTTATTCATCGCAACTACACAATGATATATATATATACAACAACGGTAATAAAGAATAAGAGGATAAATAAATCTCGTGCATGCAAAATGGAAGTAAATGACAGTAGTAGAAGATAAAAGAGAAGAACAAAACACATA